ATGGAAGGAAGATGCGGTGCCAGATGGATGGATGGTACTGAGGAGAGGTAAAAAGTCACAAGGCAAAATGTAGATTAATAGAAAAGGGTTAATTTGAGTTATAAGAACAAGTTGGTGTAGATGGAAGTTTCTGTCCTGCCCAGTTCTGCAGCCATTCAATCCCCAAGAAACACACAGAGACTTATACCAATCATAAACCATTTAGCCTATTAGCTCAGGCTTATTATTAACTATGTCTTACAACTTAAGTTAATCCATAATTCTTGTCTATGATAGCCACGTGGCTTGGCACCTTTTATTGGTGAGGCATCTCATCTTGCTTCCTCTGATGACTGCAGACTAAGCCTTTCCTCTTTTCAGAATTCTAGTCTTGTTGTCCTGCCTATATTTCCTGCCTGGCTACTGGTCAGTCAGTGTTTTATTAAACCAATACAGTTGACAAATCTTTACAGGGTACAAGAGCATTATCCCACAGCAAGTTGGAACTAAGGCCAAGCTTTCATAATTAATAGTAAGTTTCTGTATCATTTGTGGGGGCTGGAAGTCCAAATAAAGTTCAACAAGAAAGACCTGCTATATGTGACCTTAATGGAAGACATATGTTACTGGGGTAGAGTGCAGGGTTTAAGGTTTCAAAAGACTCTGACCATTCTGCATTCTCTCTCTCTCTTTCTCTTTGCAGTTCAAGATGTGAGTTCCCAGCTTTTCATGGACTCTGATCCTCTGTAACAATAAGTTCAACTAAATGCTTCCTTTTATACAAGTTGCCTTGGTTATGAATTTTGGCCCAGCAATAGAAATGCAACTAACACATCACCCATGTCCTGGGGCAGTAAACATAACTGGCAGAAAAGAAATGAACAACTAAAAGACATTGGGAGATGGGAAGGAATCAGTGACTCATAGCACCACACAGCTACCACACATGCAAGCAAGAAGGAGGAAGTTTTCCATCATAGTCACTGCTGGATCTTCTCCTTGGATGCTTTCTTCTATTCTCATCCAAAAACCATAGTTTAAGTCATAGGGAATTCATCATCTGCTTGACTGTTGCTCATTGATTCTGCAAATTTATCCCAGTAGTAAACCACAATAGATACTCAATAAACATTTTCTGAATGAACAAATAAAAGAGTGTCCCAATCATATAAGCTTCAGTGGCCATAAAGGACACTCTACTGGGAGTGCAAACTTTTTAATAGAATGGCAATATGACCCCGGTACTGGTCTTCAGAAGTGTGGTTAATGAAAATTAGTTAACCACTATTTTATTTTGCTTTTTTTCCCTGAAGTTTGCAAAAATATAGAAATGCTCTAAAGTAAAATGTGGCATCTTCCATGCTTGCTATTGCTTGTATGCCTCGTATAAATCACAGGTCATGACTGCACGGATGGGTCACTGCATGGATCCTTCGTTGTAGAATTTAAATCATGATTTTTAAAAAGATTTAATTATGTTTTAATAATGTATATGTATACGTGTGTCTGCAAGGGAATGCAGTGTCTGTGGCAGCAAGAAGCAGACATCAGATCTTTTAAAACTTGAGTTACAGGTGACTGTGTGCTGTGCCACATAGGTACTGGAACCAAACTTAGGTCCTTTACAAGAGCAGGATGTATTCCCTTTCTCCCTTTCTCCCTTTCTCCTTCTCTCTTCCTTCCTCCTTCCCTCCCTCCCTCTCTCCCTCCCCTTCTTTCTCTCTCCCTCCATCCTGTCCCTCCATCCCTCCCCTTCCTTCCCTCCCTCCCCCTCCCTCCCCCTTTTTCTCTCCTTCCATCCTGTCCCTCCCTCCCCCTCCCTCCTTTCCTCCCTCCCCCCTCCCTCTGTCCTGTTCCTCCCTCCAACTCTCTTCCTCCCTCTGTCCTTCCATCCCTCTCTACTTCCCTCCCTCTTTTCCTCCCTCCACCCCCCCTCCCTGAGATAGGGTTTCTCCATAGCTTTGGAGCCTGTTCTGGAACTCACTTTGTTGTGTGCCACCACCACCACCTTGCCTGCACTTTTAACCTCTAAGACATCTCTCTAGCCTCTTTTAAGGAGTTATTGTGACTATCTGTATTGACGTTCTGTTATACTTTCCAATGTCAATAGCTTTATTTACCAACAGGTAAACAAAACCTTAGAAATGGCAAGCCATTATTTTCTAGCTTTCATGACCAAGATAACAATTTACTAGTATAAAGATAATGCCTTTTCTAAAATCGGCGTATTTTGAACTCTGAAATATGATATATGACTTTATAAAATGTTGTGCATTGTTATATTTTATTCTCAAAACATAAGTCAAATTTCCATTTAAATATATTTGCTCCAAATGTTAAGTTGATTTGGAAAATGTCAAGATACACGTGTTGCTTTTCGATGTGATTTCTGTAACTCATTGCTCTACTAATGTGCAAACCGTAGAGCAACAATTACGTGTTTTCCTTTAGCATTGATCGCCATAATTTGAAACAAACAGAATAACCATTTTCTGAATTCATACTGGATGTGCGAATTTAGGATACTGCTTGCTCCAAAGCAGGAGGCAAAAGATGGCAGCAGTGAGTCATGCCAGACTCAGCAGCACACAGCAGCATTACGTCTCACTTTTCAAAATTATCTAATTGTGAATTTAATAATATCTCCAGTTACAAATTATTCTGGAAGAATAGAAATCATAAGTGTTTCAATGAAATGCGGCAGAGAGTAAATTAAATCAGTGTAGTCCGCAGCACTTCTGTTTCTTAAGTATCCCACACCCACCACAGGAAGTTCTGCGGGGACTGTTCGTGGGTGCTGCCACGGTGCACAATCAACCAATGGGAATTTTGCAATTGCTCACAAAAAGAGGAAAGAAAACAGAATAAAAAACTTGAACAAGGGCTTTGGAAGATCATTCTCTCACACTGAGTCTGTTTGGACAAAAATGTGCTTACGTTTAGGGATAGGATTGGTGCACCTGCTACATACAATAACTGATTTTGCTTTAACCTTTTCCCTTTCCCCTCTCCCCACTGACTTACTAAGTTGAAATACATAAGGAGAAAAATAAGTGACGCAGAGATGGCTGGGTAAGTGTCTTTGTTCTACAACTGGGAGAATCCAAGTTCAGATCTCAGCACCGGCACCAAAAGCCTGTTGAGCCCAGTAGTGTGGGGACCTTGAGACTGGAGGATTTCTGGGGTCTGCTGTCCTCCAGATTTTTAACAAGTCCCAAATGCAATTGGAACTGATGTAAACAACATCTAAAAATGACCACAGGTCTTCCCTCACAAGAAACAGACTACGTCATCAGCTTCAAAGTAGTCCCCACACTGGAGAACTGCTTTCTGCAAGTGAGACCTAGTCTATCTGAGGTCAGCGGAATGACTGCAAATTCCACTGTGGAGAACAGCCATTGCTCCATCTTCCGTTTGTTCCTTAGCCTGCTTAATCTGTTTAACTTTCCTTTACATTTGTCTCAGCCTTCAACTCCAGAGAATAATAGAGGATAGCTCAGTTTTCATGCTTGTATCATCTCTTGCAAGCTGAATAGGAACGACCCTGAGATTACAGAAGCTGGGATGAGTCCCTCCTCTTATTACAAGTTCATGATTTCTGTCACATCTATCTGTATCTCAGAAACTGGTCCGAGGAAGTGGTGGAGTGGAATGTGGGATCTTCAGGGTCTAGGATAATGGGTAGCGGGATAATTACGAAAAATACTTGTCCTGAATGTGACTCTTGGACTTTGCCACTTAAGTAGGCTGCAGTACAGGGGCATAGGAGAAGGGCCTGATGGCCTGCCTTGGCACGTGACGCCGGTCTTGTTTTCCAAAGTGTGATTTTGCTTGCTAGATTTCTCACGCTGTGGGCCAATGGCTGTCTAATCGAGAGACATATGGAAAATTCAGGTACAAATGGAGAAAGCTGCACAGGCTTCCCTGGGGTCTGTGGAAGAGGAACGAAGTTTCCATTTTAGCATGGGACAATGGGAAGAGGAGAAGGAAAAATGGTGGATGTGCAGAAGAGGACAACTGGATAAGAAGTGACACGGGGACGAGGAGAAATCCACAGTCTTTAAATTTCGAGATGAGACAAGGCTCTTCCTCGCAGGAAGTTCACCTACATACCAGATTTGAAACCAGACTGAGTTTGCATAAGGATAGAGTATCTGTGAAAAAAACATCATCAGAACACTGGAGGTGGTGGAAACGGGGCCGACACTGTGAAGAGAACCTCACAGACGTCACGCAATCTTTTCTCTGGAACCCTAGAATCTGCAAGAGCATACACCCCCATCCCCATCCACTGGCTCGCAAGGCTGGCTTGGTGCTCTCCTTAACTCTCAAGGTAGTCTAGAACCCCTCCATCGTCACCCGTTTACAGACTGGCATCTGGCCCACCAGAGTCTCCACACCTCTTCTAGCCCGGGTGCCTCGCGCACCCGAGGATGCTCGGCCCTCTCCCAACCTGCTCCGCCTCCTCCTCCCCTCTCTGCTGCTGTGGCTGCCGCCGCGAAAACCAGAAGTGGAATTCGCGTGGCGAAGCGCCCCGCTCTGTCGGCGGCACTGGGCATGCTCCGCACCCGGGGCAGCTTTCGGCGGCGGCTGGGCGGACGCTCGCTCACTAGCC